AGAATGTTGTACAGGAACAATTAATTGTACATTACGGACTAAATCACGTGATGCTAAAAATAAAATAAATGATATTTGCATTTCTATCTCGTTGTTTTCTTTTAAATGAATACATATGATCACCGGGTTTTGTTCTAATGGCTAATATAATTTCATTAAGACTACAAGTATCTGATAAAGGTTGTTTTGATATATTATGACATTCAAATACTTCAAACATATACATTTTTGCGTCTTTTAAACCTTCAATAAGTACTCTTGTATCTGATATTGAACGATTATATTCATTAATATATGGTTTATGTTCGACAACAGATTGTTCTTGAGAATCAGATTTATATTGATCATTAAAAGTACTACTTTTATCTTCAAAATAATGATCTAAATCATTGATGATTGTATCTTTAAGTTCTGAACGAATAAATAATGGATCTTTTTATTGACTATAACAGAATTAATTAATTGATATTCAAGAATGGATAAATCAGTAACAACTTGATCAATAACAGTATTTTGTTCAATTTCTTCATCTGTCTCATCATCATTATTTGTAATTATATCAGTTAAACGATTTTTTGGTCTTGAACATCGTGTTGATTGATTTAGATTTAAATTATCCATTGAAACATCTTCTTCTGATCGCCAACGATCTACAAAAAGAAGAATCTTTATTAAAAACTATTCATTCTTTTATCTATTTTTACCTTTCATTAAACAAAGGAATTTGGAATTATTTACTGGTAAACAATCGTCAATAGGTGCATAATAAACTAAATAAGTTGTTATTGGTCCATTAGGTTTCGATGGTGGTTGCCACATTAATTCAATAGTTGAACGAGATAATGATTCACCACGTAAATTAAGTAGTGATTCGGGTTGTCATTGTAATATACGAAAATATGCAATCGGAGAAAATAATCCAACAGTATTAACATGTGATGTTATAGATGCATAAACAACATACCATTCATCACCAAGTAATGATGTTAATTCAACACTCATTGTAAATGAATCACCTAAAACCAAACGAGAATTTCAAGAATGATTAGAAAAGATATATGTTTACCATGTGGTGCTGGATTATAATTAACTTTTTCGACTAATCGTAACCATTTATGTTATTGTGTTGCATCCATATGTGTTTCATTTTTAGTTCGGGTTGATTTATAATAAACTTATAAAAATGGACGACGTAGATGTTTAGCGTTTCCACCTGAACGAAAAAATAATTCTTTTAGTACTACAACATTTATTCGTGCTGTTAATAACGTATTCTATCAATTGTTATTGTTAAAAAATTCGATTCATATCAAGCTAAATAACCATTTGCATATTCATTCCATGTATTTGGTGTTACTTGAAGTTCTTCAAAAAAAAAGAAACATAAATCTCATCAAATAAAATTTATAAAATCTCAAAAATTAAACCTTTTTCATGTGTTGTTGTAAAACTAATAAAATCTGCAATACTTTTTAAACATAATCTTAAATTTCGTACAATATTTAAACTTCCTTGAATAATCGATGGTAGATACGTATTTGCCCATAATTCAGTTAAAAATTCATTTTCTTCAATCGTTAATGTTGCATTTGTTATTATATCAATACGATGTAAACGAGAAAAAATACTTAATGTTGAAAATACTTTAACATTATGTATTGTAAATTCATGATCAATTTGTTCAAGGGAATTAAACACTGTAAATGCTTCATAAAAATTATTTCCACGAGATTCAACTGTTGCTATATTATATATATTTAATGTATGAACACGTGAACAATATTTTAATAATTGAAAATCTTCTATTGAATGTATATGTTTTTCTCTACATGCACCATTACAATAATTATTTTCTGGAGATGATTTACAACGTATAAAACGTGAATCTGGTATATAAATAAAACCTGATGGACAGAATAAAACACATTCATTTATTTCTTCTAATATATACCCAGTACTCATAAAAAATGCTGTACATTCTTGTCGTGTGACACATAAAGAACTATTTTTTCATTTTTTTATTAATTCATTTATTCATCAAATACTTGGATAACACAAATATCTTGTCGTCTAACTAACATTCGACTCTATTCTGTTGTTATACATAATGAACCATGTTGTGCAACTATTTAAAAAATAATAATAACAAAAAATTCCTATAAAACAAAAGAATGAAATGATTTACTAATAAGAAAATCTCCGTTAGTATTACAAAAAGCCCGATTAGTCATAAAAACTATCAGAAACATAGATTGAAACTAAAACATCATGACGAGAACATGGATCATCAGTCTACATACTGTTGATAAAATCTACACATAGAAGATTTCATTTTTTTAATCATAATTCTTCTTTTTATTTTTATTTTTCTTCAGAAAAAGTAAATGACATATGTATTAAACAAAAAAATAGAATAAATAATCGAAATATTTTTTTTTACATATTTCAGAAAATTTAAAGAAACCAAAATACACACAATTGAATTTATATGAAAACAAATAAATATACGCACAAAAAACAACATTTATAACAACAACAAATACTTTTTTTATTTTTTCATATTTTCTATTATTTGTAACAGTTGTTTTTCTTGAAGCAATTGTTGTTTTTGATGAAACAATTGTTGTTTTTGATGAAACAATTGTTGTTTTTCCTGAAGCAATTGTTGTTTTTCCTGAAACAATTGTTGTTTTTTCTGAAGCAATTGTTCTTTTTCTTGAAGTAATTGTTGTTTTTCCTGAAGCCATTGTTCTTTTTCTTGAAGCAACTGTAATAAGTGGAACAATAACAGCGTTTTGATTCCATTAGTATTCTAAAAAGGAAATTCAAATAAATTAATGACTAGGAAGAAAATCAAACAAAGAACTACATTATCAGAGGTGCAGAATCTACCTGTATACGCGTACGGTCGTGTGGGGAAAATTTTCGATTCATAGGAGAATTTTGGGGAAATAGCTGGGGAACGACACCATCGTGCGGAGAAATTTTTTAAAATCACGGCAGATTCTGCATCTCTGTACATTATACATATCTATATCCTGAACTATTTCTATCGTGAGACGTGTTTGACTTACTGATTTATTTTCTTCACAATTATTATTTTCTTTTTTAATGGACATTATTTTCTATAACTGATAGAAAATGTCCATAAAGCAGCATTTATATAGATGATACAGGTGAAAGTGGGCGCTGCCGTCCGCGAAGAACAATGATTACTCATTGTTCTTTGACTAATTGACTAAAATAGAATATATATGATTTTTCTTTATATCTATTGTTCACCTATTATCAGATATCTCTCTACTGTCGCTGCTAGATTTAAGTAGAGGTAAATGTAAGACGAAGGCATCTCAACAACTATAGAATATTTACTTTGAAAATATTTATTAAGTTTTCATAAGGTTGCGTTTTTTCTTCTAATTGTCTATGTTCCTTGATTAACTCATCAAGTAATTCATGAAGCTAAAAAAAAGAAATAAAAATTATAAATCATTTCTTTGTTTTCGATCTACTTGTTGATTTTCTCTATGTTGATCAACCAATTTTATTCGAGCACGTTCAGCCAAAACTTCCCAATAAAAATCCGATGCTTGATCTATAATATCAAAGGTTATATTATTATTATTATCCACAGAAAATTGAGATGTGTAATAAGAGAAACTCTTATCGAGACCAAGGATATAAACAGAAATCGAATGCAATCTTCTCAATAATTGCATTCAATTTCTAAGCAGACTTTGATAATTGAAATCAGAATACACAATTGACAAAACTTATTATCATAAGATTAAATATTTAATAAATATCTTCTCAAACAATTGATATTAAACCTGATCCTTACAAATATCACTGTGATCGTAAATCATATATTTATTTACCTTTAATCAAATTTTCAAAATCTACATCATTCATATATTTTCCATCCATTAATATATCATTTAAATAATTGGATTTATTTGTAACTTTCGAAGATTCTTCAATATAATCTGTTTCTATACATACTGGTGGTTTTGATTTAATTAATGATGATGGATAATTTTGAGCAGAATTTTTTTTTTTTAAATGTTTTGTTTGTGATGGTGACAATGATGTTGACTGTTGAAACAGAATATCTAATAATATAAAGTGTAAAAATTTTCTATTTATGATATATTTTGAAAAGAACGGAATGATACGTTTTAATAATAGAATTTACCAGAGACCGAAACGGGGCGGGGACCATTTTTGTCGGGGCGGGGAGAGGTCGCGACGGGGCGGAACGGGGGTGGGGCGGGGCGGAGGAAGGGGACGACGGGGCGCGGCGGGGGCGGCGGGAGGCGAAGCGCCGGCGACCGCCCCGGCCGCGCTC